GCATATGAGCAGGAGTGAGACCGTGAAGGCTGTGGCTGGGTGTGGAGTGCAGCGCCAACTAGAGCTCCTGCTTGGCTGTCCCCCACCTTCGTTAACACGAGGGGACATGAGAACACCCTGCAGCCCCCCGATGGTCTCCCATTGACTCCCTGATGGGAGCGGGAGCTCAGGCTGTCTGCACTCTAAGTACCTTCAGAGAAGGACGCTGGCTGCATGCCACTGTGGGGGCTGGAGGGCTGGACGAGGACTCCGGGCTGGGGCTGTGTCAGCCAAAACCCTTTGGGAGCCCACTGCTTTGGTCTGACATGGCAGTCACCAACAGATCTGGGACCAGAAGGGCCAGCAGGCTGGGCATTCTCAAGGCCTGCGACCCCCTGCACTGGGCTTAGGTTGGCCTCTGGCCAGCACATCAGCCCACAGCCTCCAGACACAGCCTCTGATTAAATAATTAAATTGATGGTATCATGGTCAACACCATCCTCCCTGTCTCCAGCTCTGGCTGCCCGCCCTGATAAACACCCATGTTCTGTCAGCAGGCCAGCCTGCCTCAGCCCCAGCACCCAGGCCAGGAGGGACCTGAATGGCAGGGGGCGAGGTGAGGGGAATATTAGTGACCACACCCAGGTTGGGCTCCCCACAAGGCTCCTGGGGGACCAGCTGCAGGACATGCTGACCCCACCAGCCTCTTTGCGCTTCTCTCTGCTTCATCTTCATGATTCTGCTGCCTCTGGGCAGCGGGCCAATGATGCTGAGAAAGCCCCGTGACCACCACAGAAACACTCCCTTCTGCTCCCTGATCCCGGAGGCCCCCAAATCACCAAATCTCCCTGGAACTGTCTCCAACAGAGGCCACACCTCCGAGGGTGGTTGTGGGGAACAATTCCACAAGACTTGTCTGAGAATAAGCTGGGGCCCCATTCAGTCCTACTACTCTGAGTTTAAAAAAAAATAAAAAAAATGTTCTGGCCCTAGATGGTTTGGCTCAGTGGATAAAGCGTCAGCCTGCGGACTGAAGGGTCCCGGGTTTGATTCTGGTCAAGGGCACATGCCGGGGTTGCAGGCTTGATCCCCAGTAGGGGGTGTACAGGAGGCAGCCAATCAATGATTCTCTCTCATCATTAATGTTTCTATCTCTCTCCCTTTCCTTTCCTCTCTGAAATCAATAAAAATATAAAAAATAAATAAAATAAAATACTCTCCTTCTTTAAAAAAACATGTTCTGGATCCTTCTTGGGAAAATATAACTGACGCCCTAGGCTGAGCGTTGGTGTAGGGGCCCTTGGTGTAGCCCTTGGGTGTGGCTCTCAATCACTTCAGCTGAGGAGGGAGGTCAGCTGTTGGGCACTTCCCGGCCTCAGGCCCCCAGCAGCATGTGGAGGCCTCGGCCCAGGTCCCCACCTGCTGGGAAGGCTGGAAGGTAGTACTGGTCTGGAGGCTGGAAGCACAAGGGGTCGTGCTGACCTCACGAGGTAGCAAGGCACAAAAGCCTTTTCTTTCCCAGCAGCGTTGCACCCTCTTCTCAAAGAACCACCTCCTGAGCTCCCCAGGCCCTGGCCCAGCCACCCAGCTGCCTCCGGGCGGAGTCTCCGCCCAGACAAAGCCGGATTCAGGTCTGAGAAAGCAGTCAGAGGCGAGCGGTTCTGCCATGGAGATGAACTTTGACCCAAACGGCAAGGCTCCTACCCCTTATTTACTCTTTAAGGCTAACCCGTTTCACAGAGTTAACATTACACCCCTTTTTAACCCTGCACCTCCCTCTCACATTCCAGGCCCCGACCTTCGACCCCTCCTAATTGCCAGCTCTACACCCCAGTTCTCTGAGGCCTGGTGTGGCTCATCCCCTAGCCCCAGTCACCTCTTCCCCAGAAAAGGGAACCCAGCCAGGACACTGACCATAGGTGCCCCCTGAGGCCAACCACTGCACCTAACTGAGGCAGGCACTGCAGCCCCAGGGCCCAGCATCCCGGGGCCGCCACGAGGGGGCACTGGAGTAGACTTCTGGGCGTGACTTCTGAGCCCAACTCTCCCACCCCAAAGAGGAAGTCTCTCTTCTCAGGGAGGCTGGAGGTGGTGCCTGGCAGGCCCTGGAGGCAGCAGGGCCAGGGTTAGGGAAGAGTCCAGACAGCTCCTCGGCCCGGGCCACATCTCATCCCCAGGGACTGGGGGCACGTGGACAAGTGTACTGCCTGCTCCATCGCCAGGTGACAGGCAGGGACCCTGTCCCTACAGCCTTCCCTCAGAGCGGCAGAAGCCTGGCGTTGCTTTCACTGCTGCACAAATGAACTGTTCCGGGCCAAGCACACTGTGAACCATCCCAGACCTGAATCGTGGTAACTTAGAAATCACATCAGCTCCTGAGCATCAGGACAAACAAGCCGGCATGATGCCCGCCGTCAGGCGACCAGCCCCCCGAGAGCCATTCATTTATCTTTGGGAGGAATGACGTGGTCTCCCTGGAACCGGGAGCTGGGCAGCGGGGCCCACGGAGATGTGGAGAACACTGTGGGGACACCTGTGAGCCTGGGCCCCCCCCAGAGGTCCTGGCCCAGATTCCTAGGCCCCTGTTGTCCTGCACGGCCTCTCCCCCACCAGCCACCGAGAGACACTCACCGTCCTCTTGGCTGTGGAGGTTCTGCGGGCTCCGCATCCTCTCGTCCTGGCTGGGACTCAGGCTGGAGGCCAGGTGTGGGTCAGCTGACATCCATGTGGAGTCGTTCATATCAAAATCTTCACTGCTCACAGAAGTTTCATCCTGATCAGGGACAAAGAAGGTGGGTGTTCAACAGGGATGGGCTCTCAGCAGCCCTTAGGCCGCCCTGTGAGTGAAGCCCAGGGCCCGTGGGCATTTGCCAGAGCTCTGGAGACCACAGGAGCCTCCAAACCTTGCAGAGGGGGCTGGGTTGCTCCCAGCCCCCCGTGGAAGTGGCTCGGGCTCTGGTTCCTGTCGGAAGCCAGGGCTGAGGGCCGGAGCTCTGTAATTGAAGACAATTACGAGGTCTCGCATCCTGTAGGGGCGGATGGCAGGGCCTGGCTCTTACCCTGTGAGCCAAGGTTGAAACAAGCACCGTAAACAAAGGCCACGGCTCCCCGCTCCCTGCCCACAGCCTGGGGAGGAGGGCTCACTGTGAACAGGGCCAGGCAGCCAGAAGTGGGTAGCAGGACATGCTGGGCACCTCCCAGGCCAAGCCAATCGTCCCACAGGCCTACCACCCTGACCCCCATGGAGCATGCATGGAATTCCTTTCTCCCACTCCCCCGGCCCAGAGGACATTTCTGTCTTCCTTCTTCCTAACCTTTGCTGTGCTTCAAAGATATGCTCTTGGGCAGCTTCCAGAGCTGAAAAGGCCAGCCCCAGAAGTGTAGAGAAGGAAGGGGGTGGGGCAGGCAAGGGTTCAGATCAGACCGCAAAGGGGGTTCGGCTCAAGGGCCTAGGGGACCGCTAGGGCCTTCCAAACAGCCGGAGGGCCTGCTAGAGAGGAGAGCCTGCTGGGAGGACCACGCCTGCCTCCTCTCCCCTCGCTGGTTTCAGTGAGCACTTGGCCAGTCATCCGGGAACCCCTGGGGCGGGGCCCCTTCAATCCAGCCCTCCAGTGAGAAGGGACCCCACCTCCTCTGGCCCAGCCTCTTTCAGGAGCAGCAAGCAACTGTGTTTGGAGGTGGCTGTAAATCTCAGAAAGATGACCCAGCAGCTCCCACACCCCTGATTTCTGACTGCCCACTCCCCTGCCCCTCCGGCAAGATCCAATGGTCTCTGTGGGCTCCCAGTAAGGACGTCTGGCAGGGCACCCCCACACCCGGCCTCCCCTCCAGGGCCTCCTCACAAACATCTCTTTTATAGTGAGCAAACACACTTTAGTTTGAACTTTCTGCTGCTGCTATCCCCGAGGCAGACACATCTGTTCTCCAAGTGCTAGGGAACCAGCCTGCCTCAGCCTCCACTCCCTCCCCCACTCCGCAGGGCTGCAGGGAGTTTCCTGGAATTTACGGCTTCTGTGCAGCAAGAGTGTGTACCCTCCGCAGCTGAATCCAGAGGACTCAAGTTGGGCCAGGACACCAGCTCGGCCCAGCTCCGGGCTCACCACACAGCACACTCAGAGCCTCAGGGGCTGGAGACCGTGTATCTGCATCCCCTCTCCCCCCACCCCCATATGCACTCACTCTGCCTCCCTCCCACAGGCACACCCACCCACACTCTTCCTTGGGTGAAAACACGCTCACTTACACTCGCTCAGACAGCGTTCTCACACCCGGAGGGATACATGCCCGTTCAAAAGCTCTCTCTGCACAAAGGGTCCAAAGGGCCAACAAAACTCTCCCCTATGCTAACTGGATAGAACCTGAGAGTGAGGCTGCTGGGTGGGGGAGCGGACCCTTAGAGGCACCCAGCCCATGCAGGCGCTTGGAGTCAGGACCAGAGGCATCCTCACTTGGGCCCCTGGCTACCCAAGGGACACTGTGCTCAGGGTATGAGCTGAAGCCCTGGTTGAGCAGGAAGGCCCTCTCCTGACTCTGATTGTTGAAACACGGAGTATTCTATTAACACCTGGAAGCACCATCTACTCAAAATGCCCCATCCACTCAGTATTTACTGGACACCTACTATGAACCAAGCACCTTTCCAGGTGCCGGGAGATCCAGTTGTGGATAAGACAGCTGGTCCTCCTGGTGCACTCCGCCCAGTTGGAAACACACGTGATGTTGGTGGCGATGAGGGGTACAAAGCAAAATAAAGCTTAATAAGAGGGGAGAGGGGCCTGCAGGACTGTGCCTGCGTGGCCAGGGAGGACCTCGCTGTCAGGGGACAAAGGCAGAGGCCTGCAGGGAGCGAGGAAGGTGGCCGTGGGGCAGTCTACCCAGGAGCATTCCAGGCCACGGCACAGGCTGGTGCATTTGAGGAGTAGCCACACAGGAGTGTCCCCTCCCAAGATGCACAAAACCTTGGGCAGGGCTGTCTCCAGCTCAGAGAAAGGCTGGTGGAGTGTCCCACTGAACACACAGTGTTCTCGCCGAGAAGCAGGAAAGAGTAAGAACCACTAGGTGCAGCACCGACGGCTCCCACATTCTTGCGCCACTTGGTCAAGGTTAAAAGAAGAGCAGAAGTCAGAGTTTATCAGGTGGCAAATGCTCCTTGGATCACCTCATTTCACCCTTACCACAGGCCCACCAGGTAGGCACAGTTACCAGCCCATTCTACAGATAAGAAAACTGAGGCTCCGAGGGGTTCAGGCACTCGCCCAAGGTCATGAGCTAACAAGTGGCAGAGCCAGATGTGTACAATCCTGAAGGCCCAGACACACTCTCCTTGCCTCTGCTCAACTGCCCCTCTCACCTGGAATGCCCGAACCACTGTGGTGGCCCATGACCCAAATTCCTCTCCATCAACTCCAGCTCAGTCTCCATCGTTCCTCTTCTTGCACAACCTGTCTGCCTGTACCATGAGCCCCATCAGTCAGTCAGGCACCCCCCGCAGCTGTAGCATGTCAACACACAGGTCTCTGCCCTGTCTTCCCCAGAAAAACTCTAAGCCTTTTTAAGAGTGGGGACCAAACAAAACAAAACAACAACAACAACAAAGAGTGGGGACCAGGCAGTATGTTCCCTAGACCCTCCCGCAAAGCAAGGGAGACTTACTGAATCGGCTGAACCCCCTGGCGTGATACTGGTATTTAATGACAATGTGGCACTAGTTTGACAATTAAGGACTCGGTCCCACTGCATACAGTTCTTGAGTGGAGACCACAGGGAACCGGACCCTGGCTGGCAGGGTCTCCTTCCTACAGCAGAGCCTAAGCTCAGATCACTGAACAGTTCACACAATGATCCCCCTTCTCCCCTGCTCTGATGGCTCACATTGGGAAGAGGTGTGCTAACTTTGACATTGACATTGCAACCACCTGATAATGAAGGCCACCTCCAGTGTCCACACACAGGGGTTTCAGGGCAAGGGTCTTATGAGATTTCCTTGCAACAGCCCCCCTCCATAGAGCAGGCCTCCATGCCAGGCCTCTCTCTAGATGTGGTATCTGCTCAAGGGCACCATACCTATGGCAGAGCTGGGATCTGAAGCCAGACAGTCTGCCCAGAGCCCACATCACAGTGTCACCACACCAAGAGCTGCCTCACCACACTTCCTCCCTTCAATAAAAAAACCCCAAAAAAACAGATTCCTTAACAATGTGTCTCAAGATGAGATCCAAAAGGAACTCATGGGAGACTAAACTATATTTACTCTCTCTCTCTCTCTCTCCAAAGTTGACACACATTTATTGAGCATGTACTCAATATGTGCTGCTGTTGTGCTAGGGACATAATGACTAAGGCAGGGTTCCTTTCCTCCAGGACCCTGTTATCTAGGGAAAGAGAGCAGCAAAAAATTCTGACCCACTTGTAAGTGCGGAGAGAGAAAGGGGGCTGTGAAGTCCCCTCCACAGTTACTAGTATCTACTGACAATCATACTCTCCCCAGCAGTGTTCTCATGGCCCCCAGGGTTTTGCTACATGAGTCCCTATTATGTGAGTGATGGTTCTATATAAGATTTTGACACTTGCTGCTACAGCAATATTTTAAAGTGAGCAATCAAGTCCATTAAACCTGGGCGGGGGGGGGGGGGGGCGGGCAGGGAGAGAGAGAGCAAGTCCCAATCAAACTTAATTTCCACACCTTCACTTTCAGGACTGACCTAGGAGAGAAGCCTTCCCAAGACCCCTTTGCAACTCACCTGCTACAACAGAGCCCCCAGCTGCAGAGGGTAGACTGTAACTTCACCGCCTTACACTGAGCCAAAGCTCCAGGAGCAAGCTGATTACACATGCAATTACCAGCACTCACAGTTCAGAGCCCATCAACACCTGTGCAGAGGGGCAAAAGACACCCAAGTCCAGAGGCATCTGTGGGAGGCGGTACACAGGTTTGCCAGTGGCAGGGCCCCAGGCCTGTGCCCAGACCTCGAGTGCTCCCCCTACTCGCCCAGAAGTCCTAAGTCACAGCCAGGTACATCTTGCTTTCCCCTCCTGGAATTTCAAGGGAATTTGGTCTACTAATTTCTCTCTGTAAACAAACTTTAATGACACTTGCATTAGAAAATAAGCGAGTACAATCCATTACTTCTGGGCCCTCTCTCTTCAGATCCCATGTGACTGGCTGGATAGCTGCCCTTGACTCCTCTTACCTCTGACCTCAGCCACCCTGAAGCCTGCAGCCTTGCCCACGTGCTGGTAAAGTGCATCATTTATTCGGCACCAAAGGGCCTGAGCTATTGTGGTTCACAGAGGGATAGAGCCAACTGCCCTTCTGAAAAGAGAACTCAGAATGGGAGGGGGCAGGCAGACAGCACCCAGCCAGCCCCTGGGACACACCCAAATCTGCGCAGAAGGAGAGGAGCCCAAACCCTCTCTGCTCTTATCTGCAGTCCAAAATTCATGGGCAGGTTCAGTTTCTCTCTGCCCAGGTTCTGAGGCTCTTCCTCCTCTGCAAGCAAACGAGCACCAACCACTGCCCAGCCCAGGAGGAGGAGAAAACAGGAGAGCAGAGGGGAAATGGTGGAAACACGCCTGTATCCATGGTGTGTAACTATGGGCAGGTGCTATCAGTAACATGATTATTTTACAACTGGGGTCAATTTCTCGGGAACTGGGTTCCTGGTGCCTCTGAAGTTGAGCCATTTGCATCCTTCAGGACAGGGATCCTGGGGCGTGCCTCACACAACATTTTCCAGGCCTTTCCCCAGAGCTGTAACTCTATCTCTACCACTT